TGAGTTAATATCCACATTTTTGTCTTTTGAAACAATTTGGAGGACGTGTGTAATACATAATTATGTGATTATTAAATTAATATATGTTGTTATTGAAAAATTAATTTATTTAAAAGAAAATTACCCTGGCAAGAATAATTGTTATTAAGAAAAATTCTGCAACGTAAATTTTTATTTACGTCATGTAATAGTGTGTGTAAATCAATGTCTTAATTCCCAAACCGAGCATTGGTTTACTGGTTAACATTTTTTTTTTTACGAACGAAGGCATTTTCGAACGTATATTACTGCTGTTAGACATACGTGTCAATTACTACTTCGAATAAGTACCTGTTTTTAAGTCGGGTCCCGTTAGGCCAGTGTAAAAATTTAATTAAAATTCCATCCCATCCCAACCCATCTAAACTCCTGAATGTGTAGGCAGGCCTATAGATCATGAGAGAAGTCTTTCAGCTCAATCGATAAGCGAACGTTGAATCGAGTGCTAAGCAGTTTCTCATGATATTCGGGAAGTCCCGCGATCGATTATCGTCACGAAGACTGGTTATCCTAATTGAGAGTTTTGTGGTTTTCCTCAGTCCCTTCATGTCTGTTCAGTACGTTGTATTAGGCAACGACAATTTCCTTTCACATCCTTGCTGTTTGTTATTCGTTAATCTTGGCAATTTAAAGCGTCGTTAAAGAAACCAAGACATAAAGCGAACGTTTGTGACATTACTGGTAATTTACCCGCCATCTTGTGCTGTCTGTTCTCCAACAAAACGTATCTTGGTAGTGGCATCTAGTGGAGGGCTTCGGAACTTGCCCTATTAATTCTAACGGACGATCTTGAAGCATGAGTGGATAAACGTTTTTATCTTGTAAGCGCTGTGAACTAGGGGGATGGTTGTAACGTTAATTGGAAAATTGCAAGACTAGTGCGTCTGATCACGTTTGCTTACACCGTTGTCTGCTTGGATGACAGTTTGTGAGGCAAACAACGTATTAATTCGCCATCCAGAACGTGTAGAATCGCCTAACACAGCGTTGTGTTACTTAACACAAAAACTTACGCATTTGTGATGTTACACTACGTCACAATTTGCTGGTTTTGTGAAGTCAATTTCGGTGTTTGACTTGTCTTGCTTAAGAATAAAATGCGTGTATCGTAAATATGTACGCCTAATTCTTTAAAATCTTTTCATCTTACCGTGATGGTATTTCTTTGTTAGGATACGTATTGCTAAATGCAAACGATTTCGATGCGAAGTAATTTAGCACATGTTATGGTCGTAAATACACGATGTTAGCTTACGCAAAATTTTGCGCAACTTTCTTGAGTAGCGGCCTAGCAAAAGAGTATCCTTGACTCTAGTGTCATGGAGGAAGACCTGATTCTGATTTAATTTTTGCACAGCAGAACGTTATTATTTTAATCTCATTTTAAATGGTATGTTGTGCATCGCAAAATAACTGAAGTGTTTTACGTAAATTTAAAATTATTAATTGTCTGGACTTTTGCCATCGAACTTGTTTAAAAGAAGAAACCGCGACGTTTCGGAAACTGTCTCTGTTTCCGTCTTCAGGAGAGATGTACCTACTCAGTTGGGTCCGTCAGATAGACCAAGTCTCCATCATCGGACAGAACCAGTTTCAGAAACGTCATGATTTCTTATTTTAAATAATTACGATGGAAAAATTCCAGACGTTGAATAATTTTAAGTGTAATCCACCATTGTCAGAACCTTTTAGAATTGAATCTACGTAAATTGTACAGCGTTAACACTGCACCCTGAGGAATTTCAGTATTGTTAGTTTCGTCGTAATTTCGCAGGTCTTTGTCCATCTTCCTGAAAACGTATGATTTAAAAAGGATCTAATATCTGTGTAATATAGGGGAATATCGTCTTGAAAGAAATGTACATATCTTGGAAGAGCTGGGATAGCTGTAGTCAGCGGATTTACGTAACGTTTATTTCTTTTATTTAGTGTTCTGTCTGACGACAGGTCCATATGAACAGGATCCTTCCATCCTCTTCTCGGACTGGGACCTGTTCATATACGTTCTTGGCAGATGACCCAGAAGTGGTTTGCCATTGCCTTCTTCTGTGTGTGAATGGAGTAATTGTTGGGAGGCCACGGAGAAACCGGGGAAGCCCCCGGAGGAAAACTCCGTGTTGCTTATACCACGGCCTTGCCCAACACAAGTTATAAATTCGGGCACCGCCGGGAATCGAACCCGGGACCCCAGGATTACAAGGCCAGCGTTCTAACCGCTAGACCACCGTGGCGTTACGTAACGTTTACCCATTACTAAAAGAAAACTAGTCTGACCAGACCACAGTGTGACGCCGGACAGATATCACCACGCCTGTCAAGTATCTGAATGTAATTAGTGCAACCAAGTAAACACTGTTGTGCTTGTTTATGAAATGTTTCAGCTCAGATGTTACCTCATTTGACTACACAATACCGTTCAAAATTTATTTTCTTTCAGTTTCCATGTAAGAAAATCTGTTCTGCTATTGAAATCATCTTCATTCAATGCAAGTGACAGTTGTGGGATGTGGGCATTAAAAGATACGATGTCGATTAGTTTCGTTCATCTGAGATTCGCTGGAACATTGTAGTGTTTGTTTCGACAGCGATCTTTCAAATCGTGTCGACACATCTGTAGTGATTTCTTCTGTTCGTTTCGGTCATCTCCTGCCATCACAATATCGTGAACAGTGTCGCATTGTTTTTCAGATTTGTCTCACGGTCCTTTATTTGCAAACCGACACGATCGATGCGTCGATTTAACATTTTCGTCTAGATGTACTACGAAACTTCGCTGAATTTTCAGATTTCCAATAGCACGCCACTTCAGAAATTGTTTACATTGCTCAAAACAAAACAAAAAATCCTCTTCACCCCGTTGATTTCATAGGTTACCTCAAGGACAGCAACATGCAGAAGGACTTACAGGGGGCAAAAAACGCAATATTACATTCTCATTTAAATGCCAATTTAACGGTTTTAATCCGTGTAGTTAAATTTACTAAGAATGCACCTTTATGCAATGTTATAACATTTCTGGACCAATGATTCTTTGGATAATTTAGCGTAAAACACAGTAAACTCTGTCGTCCACGAAATTTCTGTCCTGACTAGTCTTTTTGATAATTTAAAGGCTCAGATCTGCCAGGTTCTCATTGGACAGTACATCTTTCTCAAGTGGTAACAGAACCAACATTTATTTATACATGTCGATACTAACCTAACACCTTTCTCCTGGACAGCATGTATCTTAATTTTATCCATATCGATGGCATCATGTTAGAAAAGCGTATAAACATATTTGCTAATCATGGGTATTTTATCTGGCAACATAAAATAATAGGATGTATAGTCGACGCAGTAGTCTTTGGTCGGTGGAGAAGTTGGCGGAGCTGGCGGACGGGCCTAGTCTGTGTACCTGAGGTGGCACGGTCAGTGTATTTCTTTTGTTTGGGCGTTCGGTCCGATAAGCTCCTCGGTGCAGTCCGCATTGTACTATCGAACAAGTGACTCGCGCCTAGCCTTCCCCTTGAAAATTCCACAGGCCAAAAACTATTACGCCGACTATAAGAAGCTGGCGGACGGGCCTAGTCTGTGTACCTGAGGTGGCACGGTCAGTGTATTTCTTTTGTTTGGGCGTTCGGTCCGATAAGCTCCTCGGTGCAGTCCGCATTGTACTATCGAACAAGTGACTCGCGCCTAGCCTTCCCCTTGAAAATTCCACAGGCCAAAAACTATTACGCCGACTATAAGAAGCTGGCGGACGGGCCTAGTCCGTGTACCTGAGGTGGCACGGTCAGTGTATTTCTTTTGTTTGGGCGTTCAGTCCGATAAGCTCCTCCGTGCAGTCAGCATTATACTATCGCACAAGTGACTCGCTCCTAGCCTTCCCCTTGAAAATTCCACCGGCCAAAAACTACTGCGCCGACTATAATACCATAAGGGGGTAATGCTGATATTGCACTACACAGAGATACAGACTGTTTTTCGTGGGTTTATGAATGTTAATAATGGACATTTGTCAAACCATATGAGTCTCAACAATGTCTCCTTTGTGTCAGCCATGTTGTTGATAGTTCTTCTTGGCATGCATTCGATATTAGTCGGTGGAAATGTGTCTTTTAGTCATTTTGTCTTCTATATTTTTTGTAAAGTCGTGTCACTTGTGACTGAAACCCAATATCTTATTGATACAAGTGACTCGTTTCCTTACACTTAAAGACGGGTTTCTCTTTAGGAAGCCATACAACCAGGCATTTCCTGCTGTAGAACTAAGCCTGTTGAAGTTATGTTTTATTTTGTTCTGCAAAATCTAAAGCTATATAACGTACTAGATATGAGCACTTTGTTTCGTAATGCTTTCTTGTTGCTGTGATGTAAATATGCTACAGATTAATTTTCTAGCTTTTTTCCGACCATTTTTTTTATTAATTTTATAAACCATTTCCTGTAATTTGCTGAATAATGTATTGAGTGATTTAGATAATGTTAGTATTTTCCGCCATCTTGAACAGCTTTTATGTGCAATTTCAGAGTTTTTTTCGTCTGCGCTGCCAATTTAATTTTTCATTCTTTATTCTGGGGAATCTGAGAAAAAGTAATATGGTTACAAATAAATAAAATAACGTAAAATAATACAGTGCCAAGTTTTTAACAAGTGTACGAACACTGTCGGGATGACCGTAAAACATGACCTACCAAGGAAACCATGTGATTGTAACATATAACAGTTATCCATAATTATTTATGTTACCCTAGTTATATAACACCTCCATATACGTCTGTGTAGTATCAGTGTTGGTCGAAATACGTAATTGTGTATCTATTTAAAGTCTCCAAAACGGGATATTTAGATGAACGGTCGAAATTGTCTTGACTTTACGTGGGAACAGCGCACTGATTCAGAACCACTGTCCTTGAACGATATGATGTTCTCAACGAGTCACGAAAACCGGTTAGTGAGTAGTGTATTGTCTGCGGTTAGAACAAGTATGGAGACATTGCGAATGGTCAGACAGCTCTCAGTTTAATGTGTGTTACCTTGCCATGTTTTAATAATTACACAAGTAAAACTGATGTAATTATCCTTGGTGTTATTGTACACTGTCAGGACATATAATAGATATATTTATCTTGAAGCCTTGCAGATGTTGTGTTATGGTATCTTGTCTTCTACACGCGGTAAGTTGGAAATTATTCGTCTGCTTGAACATTCACCACGCGTGGGAGGTGTGATTGAGAAAGTGGATTTAAAACTACAAGGAAGTTAATCATTCCTACAGATTTTATATAAATAATATTTGCGTATTAGAACGCGAACTACTAAATTGATGTGAATGAAGTTTTTACGTCACTAACTATTTGTTTTACGCCAGAATATTCCGTGGGCGTGGTGTGTCGTTTGGATGCTGGCTGACTACGCAATCTCAATATTATTTCTGATGTTACATTTTGGGCTTGCGTCTTGTTTTCAGCGAGATGCCGAAGGAGACGTGATCTTTCGAGTTCAGAAGGCGTGGCTTCACAAGGCTCCGACCTGGTAAGTACATTTTACTCTCGTGTTATTCCGTTTATATATATATATATATATAGACTACAGTTATAACTTTTATACACAATTGATTAATTGTGCAAAAGTGTACTCCACTTGGAGCACACGGATTCAACTGTGTTCATTGTAATTTTGCATTCCTAATATGAGGACACGTCATGAAATAAACCAATAAATTAACTATTGTGTATCTTGGTATTCTGAACCAAATAACTTATTATTTTTGTTTCTACATGGTTGTAAAATATCGACTAGAATATCGAACACGTTTGATATTTAAGATTAAACCTTACAAAATTCAGTGAGAATCTGGAATGGATACGGAAGGAAGTGGTGGTGACCTATTTTGGGATACTTATTTGTTCGAAGACACTCGGGAAACCTTTTATGTCCCTCTGTCAAGAGTACGTCGCCAAAGATAAGAATGGTCAAGCCCCATGTTTTGTTTAACCCAGGCACTAAATGAAGATGACTGTTGAGTTTCTAGCTGCAGTTGTTTTTAAAACTTAGGAAAACAAGCCAGTAAACCATTTGATTTGCTCCCTTTACCACAACCGGAAACGATGTTGACCGAACTTCTCCCAAGAGCGTTGTACGTCGTAAGTCAGGATGAATGACGTTCCTGAGCCGTGGAGTGTCATGTATGCATGTCTTCTTTTCTGCTAGACACATTTATGAAGGAACAAGGGAAAGTAAAGTCTTCATAGTGTTTAATTAACCTTTTAAAGCATATTGGTAACTATATGTACCACGCGATTTAACAGTCTGTAGACTGTTCGCAGTGCTCTTATAGATTTCTTGTGATTGTCAGAATTAACATCGATAATATACCTGAAAGTATTAACAAATCGATATTTATAACGGAGCAGTGTCGTGTTTTCTTTGAGGTAGGGACTTGTTGATCGTACTGTTAGCTTCTCAAGCACTTTTTCTGTGAAGTTGTCATAAGTTTTTAACTTTTCGATCAATGGGTATAGTTTTTAAATCATATTAATTACATTTTCGCTTATATCTGGCCCAGATTTTCTGAATCGTAAGATGACTGGAGGCAATATATATAATTCGGACCTGCGCAGAACAACTGTATTTAATCTTAGTGTGATTTTGTTAGATGAGGCAAAGGTAACCTACTTAATCAGTGTTACCGTTGACATGTTTACACTGATAATAACGTAACTGTTTATTGTACGTACATTCTTAATACAACGAATTACGTAAGTGAATTACGCAGTACAAGCAAAGAGATGTAAATAATTACAGATTATTATAGTATTAGCACTAGAAAGGTATACTGTAATTCGAATGGATGTATTTTTGAAGAATTTAATTTACGATTTTTCAAACGTTTTTGGTCTTGATGTTCATTTGTTATAGGTACGTCCGAAAATATAAAAAGATGGCGTCTGGGATCGTATAGTTGGTAGAAATTGTCCTCTAACGGTGGAATAGTGTACTAATTGGTATACCATGCTATAGCTAACGCGGTTAATGACAGGCTTTTCATGTCGGGGGTCTCGGTTCGTGCCCAGATTAATTCGTGTGAGATTTATGATGGATAAAGTGGCGACAGAGGTTTTTTTTTCCCTTCGAGTCCTTCTGTCGCTGCTCCATATTTATGTAGTTCCACAGAGACATTGTCTCATCCTATTGTAAAAACAAAGCTCGCTTGAGCTTTCGGGGCTTGGTACACGCGGCTCGGACTGTCAGCTGACGTATAGACTTCGCGTACACACGAGGGCCTTTACGTACGCGCGCACACACCAATCCGTGAACAGTGATCTGCTAATCAATATGGTGACGTGCAGTAGCGCTACGTTAATTATCTCCACAGTCGTGTTGAGAAGTTCTCCAGGATTCGTCCACCCTTCTACTGGTGACGCATACAATGGGATATGTATAATATTTGTATCTGATGTTAAACTGATGCTAAGTTTACCTGTATCGTATTTTTTGACAAGTCTGGAAAAGGTTCGATGATGTTTATAATGTTACCGAAATAAAACCTCGGATATATGAAAACGCTGATAGTGAAAGCGCGTATAACGAGAGCCACCTGAATTCAAATGGTAGATGTTATGTTCCGCGTAGCGTTGCTACATTCTTTTAACGTGTTTTCAATGAGGCTGTTTGCTGGAGATGTTGTTACGAAGGTAAATTTAATAACAAGGTGAGAGAAATCAGGTCGTTACACATGCATTAGATACACCTGGAGGCGTCAAATTAATAAATTCAGCCTCCATATGTTTTTGTGTGTGTGAGATTCGATTGTGTCATGCTTTAAAAAGTGGGACATAAGTCGCTAATGATGTCAGCAAAGTTATTTCAAGTTTTTAAAAGAGAATACATAAAACTTACATTACGATCATGTAATTGAAACGGACTACAAGAAATACCAACCATATAACGACCTACGCTAATTTACTTTAAAATAATCTTCACAAAAAACTGTTATTATGTGTTATTTTTCTGCGAAGTCTTTAGTGTATTTCACGTTCCTTCAGTGGTTCACGGTTAACAGTTAGGGAACCTCTGACTTAGATACCACAGTCGGTGAGATTAAAGCTTGCAGCTTTTATAGCACAATAAAAATACTATTACGCAATTTACGCTTAAACATAAGGCTGAAGTGATTGTTTTATTAAATTATAGGTTATGTGAAATATGGTCTGTAAAATGGCAGTCGTACTTAGGTTGTAATTTTTAGATTTATATCCATTTGCCCCATCACCGGCGATATTTACGTTTTTACGCCAATATCAAACGCTTTTTGTTGAACTATACTGTTTCTGAAGCCACGGTGGTCTAGCGGTTAGAACGCTGGCCTTGTAATCCTGGGGTCTCGGGTTCGATTCCCGGCGGTGCCCGAATTTATAACTTGTGTTGGGCAAGGCCGTGGTCTAGGCAACACGGAGTTTTCCGCCGTGGCATCCCAACAATTACTCCATTCACACACAGAAGAAGGCAATGGCAAACCACTTCTGGATCATCTGCCAAGAACGTATATGAACAGGTCCCAGTCCCAGAAAAGGATGGAAGGATCCTGTTCATATGGACCTGTCGTCAGACAGAACACTAAATAATAATAATAATACTGTTTCTGTACGAGTATTAGTAATATCGCAGCTGTTGAGAGATTCATTTAATCGTTCAGATTGCCTGGATTCTAGTGAGAGCATGATGATCATTTTAATAATAGAATGTAGGCAAAGCCGAAGCTCGTGTAAATAATAATTAACAATTCAATACGATTCTGAGGTCGTGCAGCATAGCACAACCACCGCATCAAATTTCATCAAAATCCGTCCAGTGGTTCATGCAAAGATTGGAGTGTAGCCTACAGAAGGATTCACAGGAATAATTCTGTTCGGCGTTGTAATTGATGTTGATTAAAAGAATTTAAAATTAAATACCGATAATACATGCTTTTCCATGTTTTGAATACCAAAAACAATTAAAATAGCGACTTTGATTCTCCGTATTTTTTTTTCAGCTGTAGAAGCAAGACTTCGTAGATACAATTTTATTATACACACAAACTTAAAAAAAAGTGATGAAATATAGTTCTAAAACTGTCTTCATCATGGTTAATAATATTGAAAGCACAACAGGTAGCTGTTATTCAAATTTCCAGACGAGTTGATTAGGTAACGTGGGAGACAGAAGATATTCTAGAGTATCCTTCCTCTATTTTTGTTGTTCTGTTTCATTGTCCCTTTAACTCGCTGTACTGATCGTGTTTTTCTCCTGAAAATTCTACATCGACGCGCGGACGAGCGCACACACACACACAAATCTGAGTGGTCGCTGCACACCCATTCATTCAATATATCGCCAAGAGTTACAGTCGACTATTTACTATGGGAATCAGTAGCATCGAGAGCGAGAGAGCAGACTGTCTGAATCGATATAACGGTAGCTGTCGCCCGCCATCCTCCTGTTGCTGGGTTAGTCTGCACGTTTCCGTCTAGTCTACACGTGCTGTATGTACCTTATTACGTCACTGTCTGTGACCGATTGGGCTGTGTGGCCTGTTCCAATTCAGAATTACTTATGAAATTATGAATCTTTTAGATAGTTGTTCGGACTCCTTGGACGAGTGATCAGCTCGTAACTGTGCCTCGACCTACAACATAAAGGCAGAGACATTGTTCTTAACAGGTACAGCTGAATTTTTTGGTCGTGGCATCTGATAAATTAAACGGCTGAACTGTGATTTCGGTAACCCACACTACATTTTAATTCATTTATCTCGTCCAAATCTACAGCTCTTCGTGTTGACAGTGGCCCCCGACTGAAAAATTGAAGTGTGCAGTTTATGACTACGAAGTTCTCAATAATGACGCTAGGTGGTGGAATGTGCTGTTGTACAAGTGCTGCTATCATTAGGCATTTGAGAAGCAATTCTACAGCAGGTGAAAGCATGAAAGATTCAGAGGAAAGGGGGCGAAGGATGAAGATAAGAAAGAAGTCACTGCCCGTTGAATTTAAGCGACCCTGTTCCGCCGAATTTTTTTATTTCCCTTATGCACACTTATACGTCCCCAGACGAGCGACGGAAATGAACTGTGTCTTCATCTAGAGATGCGCTTCTGTCTGTATCGATTTCCTGAACATTTGGACTAAGTTATTTACAAGTCGAATCTAAAAATATCTGTCACGGTACCCGATACGGCGACTGTTTTTGCATTGTGCGTTATTAGAACTGGCTGCAACTTCACAGACGCAGATGTAAACTTCGATGTACGAGTAAAACTAATTTTTACTTGTTGTGACCGACTATTCACTATGTAATTTTTTTTGTTATTAATATACAGGGTGAGTCAAAAGTATGTCTGGGATATTTAAGGGCACGTTCTGGGAACCAAAACAATAAAAAAAGTTTCTATGAACATAGGGTCGGAAATTCTTCCTTACCCACATATTATAACTGAATCCGATACAAAGTATTTATTACGATGTATCTAATTCACGATTTTGCAAGAGGTGTTCAAAATTTGATCTCTCCACCTCCACACATGCCTGAGCACTGCAAACAGTGGACTGACGAACAGTTGTGAACACACCAGGGCATGTTTTAACCATGTTATAAGCAACCCACACATGTCACCATAGCTCCTACTGTGTGTTAACAGGCGTTTCATACACTGATCCTGAATTCCTTTGACTTTTTCCTGTGGGGGTCACTTGAAGTCCCTGATTACATTGTGTGATACCTAAAGTGTTCCACTTTAGGTATCACACAATGTAAACGTGTTATATAAAGTATGTTAGTATCATTGTAATGCCAGATAAATATGCATTTTTTAATAAGTACAGAGCTTGGCTTTAGTGACGTTAAACTTATAGATTACTAATTCTTCTTGGTTTCTGTTTTTGTGCATCTAAGAGCTGTATAATTCACCTGATTTTGCTCCCAGTGATGTCTTTTCTGGGGCAAATGTAAGGGGACAAATCAGGGACAGGCTTACACTCCACTGTCTACATATTGTGGGCAATTTGAAGAAGAGTTTAGGTCATATGTGAATTTGTAGCAAAAGTTTAGCAGAAAGGCTGGAAATGAATACCATTTTAATGTACATAATTCATTCATATCGCTTAATGTCCCACAACTGGTAACTGTGTGTGTGTGATTGGGGGGGGGGAGACCATTTTGGATGTGAATTATAGTAAATTAGTGAGGCTATGGTATTTTTCTGCTAAAGTATGAGAAAATTATAATATGACTTATTTGTTTCTTGTATTAACAAATTAAACAAATCAAATTCAGAAATTAAAAAATTACCTTTACATTTTATAGTGTCATTTCTTCTATGTTTGATAGAGAGCTTACGTTACCATGACTTAGTCACCACAGCCTCGTTTGTGGGGCACTGCAATGAAAATTAGGTATTTGTCTTTGAGTGAAAACATTGTCTGGGTTTAGAATGTTTCAGAATTTTCTTTCAGAGTCTCTAAATCTCTTATCCCCTCAACTGAAAATGAGTTTGCTAAATTGATTAGATTTAATTCAGTTCTGAATTAAGTAGTGTTCCATGAGACAGCAGAATCACTGACTTCTGTTAAGTAAAACATTTTGTTCATGCCAGCTCTGGCATAAGAAAGTAGTGCTGATGTCAACTGTTTATTTGAACTCTGAATATTGAAGGGTGTAGTGACAGGCTTGTAGTGGTCAGAGTACATACCACTTTGTCAAGCTATGAAGTCTAGTGGCAGGTGATTTACTTGCAAGCAGAACAACTGGCGTAATGCCTGGCAGTCACATGAATGTCACCCAATTCTGTTTGAAGGCTAATCGTTCTGAGTGCTTAGGGATTACGAGATCACTGTGTGACCATAACAGATTAGTCGTTAAATAGATAATTACACGCGTGGGTTCCCAGACACATCGAGCCTTCCAAAAATTATTTATTATTACATGAATTGAATGATGATCTGTTTACATTGAATGTAGCTTCTTTGCTTTCAGTAAATAGTACACATTTTATTCTTTCAGGAGGATCAGTTGGTGCGTGTTTTAGAAAAAAACACTGAGCTCACAATCCAGAATACAGACTTGCAAAAGCAAGTTCAACACCTGCAAAATGTAAGCAGTATGTTTTATTTGAATAAACTGAAATTCTAATTACTTTGTGTTCTGATATGATTATTTAAGTTTAAAATGGGCACATTTCTTTTGAAAGAGCCCTTCTCTTGCTGAAACAATTGTGAGTGATTGTTGATGGTAGAATTAAAAATTCAAGAAGAATGCTCCAGTACTACAGGTTTTATGTAGTGAAAGATAAACTTTAAGAGGGAGGAATTTGGTGTTGAGTACAAAATGTTTTGAGGAAGAAAGTACATGGTGTGTTTCAATGTAACGATGAACATGTAGCGGATATAATTTGTATGGGAAGTGCTGAAATATACACATCTAATAATAAGTCTGTCTGTGGAATGCAGTCAGAAAAGTGACATCTTCAGGAGGTACATAAGCGAAGTAGTAAATTTTAGATTTCATGGTGATACGAGTTTAAATTGTGGTCCTCTGTGTTGTTGCATTCTATAGTCTCATGTTTTAGAGGATCATGCTGTCTCCATTTTCAGGGATGAAAATTGGCAGTGTGTTCATTCAAAATGCTGGTGTACGACCAGGAGACCACATGGTGCATCAATCCAGGAGACTGCAATCTGAACTTGTTGTCCTGTTTGGGACAATAACAAATTTTGGAATCTGCAGTATGACAGGCCTAAATACTCACCTTAATGAATTTTTTATGTGTAGAATAGCATGTTAAGTACATGATGAATGTGAGCCCTATTATACTGAAGACACACTCCAAACCGTTGATTTGTTGGTTAAGTTTTTCACACATTCTATAGTGTCATGTGGTATGCTTTTCAGTTTTCCCATAGATGCTGTATATTTTATCAATATTAGTTTAGAAGAAATTTTAATCTTTTAACCCTTTGACATAAGTGCATTGTTTTCCAAGCTTCTCCTGTTCCCTGTGCTGAGAATTTTTTGCTGCTTTTACATTTTTTGGTGTTCTGTATGCTCTTGCGCAAGCAGAGAACACTTTATGGGTACGCTCCATCTGTTATGTCTTTCAGCCGATAGCTTGCTGTCATCTGTCAGTGGCCATTTGAATTGACGTTGTATCCACTGGATGATATTAATGATTATTTTTTAATAAAAATGTTGTGTGATTGACGATGATTACTATTATTTGTCAGATGATTTGTGTAGGTCTGTTGTCTTACAGGGATTGCCCCCGGGTCATAAGCTACCTTCAGGGCTTGCAATGCCAATGTTGTGACCTTCCCAGGGCTTCCACCTCTGGAGTTTGCCCTAGAAAGGCTTGGCCTAACAGGACTTTCCTGGAACTTTGTGCCTGCCCTCCAGATATTTGTCCATTAGGCTTGCTTCTCTACATCATGTCCCCCTCTGCCTTTAAAATCCACGACTTTGCCCTTGACTTGGCAATCTCTGGCTTTCCCTCATTTTAGGCTAGAGCACATTGGGCCTGCCATTCTCAGGAGGTAGGCAAAACTGCAGGTCTTTTTCCCAGCAGCCAAGCCATCCTTAGGGTCCTAATTCCTTGGGACTTACACAACCAAGGTATGATCCCCAGGTTTGCTCCACCATGCCTTGCTAGGTCAGAGGAATTTTTATATTTGAATGTGAACATAGATGCATACGTTTAATCTATGTGTTTCAGGTGAGCGGAGAGGGTCGCAGTGGGCTACCTGGATCGGTACAGCCTGGTAGCAGTAGTAGCACTAATAGGTCAGGAGATATTGAGTCAATCCTTAAGGTAAGAATATACATGTAATAACAGTTAAAATTTTGGAACTGAAGGGTTTAAAATTTTTTAAGCTACTAATGTTTATTATGTATTACGAATAAGTAGTTAAATTCTAGATAAATTTGGTTAGATAAAGAAGCATCTACCACAGTAGGAATTCAGACACTGATGGGAAACTGATTGTAGTATTCTGGATTGTGACACCATCTGGAGGAATGTATCACCTGCATCTTCAGGATTGAAATGAGGTTATATACGCAATTTAGAAGACCACAGTCGATGTCTTCGCTGCTATGAGAACCTTGGACCTCAGGTCTGTGAATTTCCTCAGGGAAGAGAATATAGTCGGGGCAAAATATGTGAAATAACATAGTTTGTAACAAAACTAAGAGTGAATGTAGATTGTTGTCCTTGCACAAACAGTGGAAGAAAGTCAGCAGCATGTGTTCTGTTTAAAATACAATCAGGTGGAAGGAACCATCACATGGGAAAAGCAGCAAAAAGGCAAATTACTTTGTACGGCCAGAAGTGGAATTTGTCATCTGGAAATTATTTTGAGATTGTTCATCCAAAGTTAAAGGTTTGGGAACAATATTTTCTGGTAAACTGTAGTACAAAACTATAACCCATAAGCAAAGAGAGAATGTCTAATTTTTATTTGTTTAAAAATTTATAGTGTGTGTATTGTGATGTGTCAGAATTATGAAGAATTACGGCTGTACCTTTCTTTGTTTTTCTGTCGACATTGATAAAATGGCCTTCTCTTAGATGCAATGTCGTATCATACTCAACATTATGATTCTTGCATGCATCAGAAATAAGCTACTTGTAATAATTAAAGTTGTAAAATTTGGTTTTACTACATTTTTGAGAGAGAGGTTTTGCTGTCAACTCCAAGTATTGATTTTAAACAATATAAAGAAATACAAGTTGGGAACTGGCTTTAATGAACAATTATCTAATAACAAGATATCAGAGTATGAATTTACAGGTAGATGAAAGTAGAAATGTCACTCTTTTATTTCTTAATAATAAAGTGCTTGTTACATCTTCCTGTTTTGTTTTGTTTTCTTTTTTTCCATGCACCTTCATTCTACACCGTGTTTACTGTCGTATCTAGCAAATGCGCGATGCTGCAGACAAAAGAAAAGAACTGGAACGTCAACATGCAGAAGCATTGAGCCAACTTCGGGATAAACAAAGTGAACTACAGCGTTTAACAAAATTCAGCACAAATACCAGTTCTGAAAAGAAAAACAAGAATTATGAAACTATCGAAGCACTGCAGGTATGTTCATTTCAGCAATAACTGAAAGACTAGTTATTACATTTCTTGTAGTGACTGAATAGGACCTAATTTCTGAAATTATTATAAATCTCTGTGTGCATGTCAAGTTTCAGAATCTCTTTAAATTGTTTTCATGTCTAGAACTGCTCAAAAACATTGATGAAACTAAACATCACAGCTTGGTGGTTAGACTCCTATCAAGTGGACTATAGGGCTGCTATTGGTGGGAAGTGTGATACGTCAGAGTTTTACGCTACTACACACAGACTGAAAACATCAAGCCTTTAAGAGTAGCGTGTAGTGAGTGCACCTCTAATGTGTTCTGCGGGTGTTGCGATAATATTCTAGATTAAATCACTGTGCCGCTGTGAGGTAATCTTAAAGCTGTACCCATTAGAACGCATGAAAGCCTGTCGTCTGTTGTTCGATCAGTGGTTGTGGAACGAATGCTTTCAGGATCGGTCATCACTCACCGCGAAATCTTGCGCATGCGCGTATATCAAATTCCTAGCAGGGATTTTCTCCTGGTCTGTGGACTGTACTTTATGGGAGATTGTGGGTTCAGATATTGGTCCAGTGACTTTATATTCTGATTTTTGTTGTTATTTAGTTTTCCTCAGTCCCTCAAAACAAATCAGAATAGTTAGTACCTTAAATTACGTATGTCCAGCTGTTTCCTTTTCTACCCTTTCCAGTTTATTATTGATTAATCATGCTGTCATTTGACATACAGTCTGAGTTACAGACAATATTGATAAAGAAACCATAAGTAAATAAACAAACATGGCAACATCTAGTATTAGGGGTATACGCTATGGTTTTTCAGGAAAATTTCATATTGATACATCATCAGTCCAATATGAACCTTTCTCTATATGAAACTTGTATCACATTTCATAATTGTTCTTGATGAGAGCTTATTATACAATAAATGTTTATGTGACATAAAACCTTTATCTCTCTACAGTCCAGAACTTATGCTAGAAGCATATTTTTGCATGGTGAATACAGTAAAATCTTAGTATAACAAATGCCATTATTACAAAAATTTCCTTTTTCACGTACAAAAGTACTGTTTACTCTTAAATAAAAATATATACAATAACATATGTTGTGAAGTGGCAAATGAAAACCTGGTTTTTGGGTGTACGCCAGTTACATGATGTCCATACTAGATTTCACTGAAATACTTTGTATTTGTGTGCTTGTGTCAATAGGAACTTAAATTTATAACTACATTATAATAAATTTGCAATTTAATTATTTCAGTACAGTTTCCTGGAGCCTTTAATCACTTTTTGCCACAGTAAAGAAATTTTTTTTTAGTTCAGTTAAAAAATGGAAGAATCGGTGCTTTTGCTAGTACACTATTAAATCCAATAACTTAGTTATGTGTTTCAATATGTAGACCTGAATAGTGAAATGCTAATGTCATTTAACCCAGTAATTCATAAAAATATATTAATTATTTAGTCAAAGATTCGTGAGCTCGAGAAGAAGACAGAGTTACAGAATGTTCGACATGAAGAGCTTCTGCTGGAGATGGCGTCAATCAAGCGGTCGTCACAAGGGACCTCTGCAGTGTCTGCAACCATGGGTCCTTCCACATCCAGTGGTACAGGATGGAAATTGTCACGTGCCAGTTCCACCAACCAGGAAGTCCAAACTTCACCAGAATCGGGTACCTCCACACCAGGTAAACATTTTTCTGCTTCAGATTAAGTTATGCTGCCAAGGAGAGCAAAGTTTGTACAGTTACAAATTAGTGAGGTTTCAATGTATGTATTTTATCTTATTACTGAAAAATGTATGTATGTGTGTGTAATAGAAGAAATCACAGCTTCAGAAGTAAGTCATTTCTTGGTTTAATGAGAAAGTCTTTATCATGGGTTATATGGTATTGAATGGAAAGAAAATTGATGGAAGGAAGTACTCATGGTCTAATTTTTAATAAGTTTATAATAGAAATTGTGGGGGTCCGCAGTGGCCGCACGGTCTGAGGCATGGGTCTTGTGCCACTTGGTCGCATTGACCTTGGGTTCGAATCCCACTCAAGCCATGGATGTTTTTCTGTGTTGTGTTGTCCTGTGTACAAGTAGAGGCCTTGCGACGGGCCGATCCCTCGTCCAAGGAGTCCTACCGAATGTCCATAGATCAAGCCAACTGAAAAGTTGGGGACCTGTAAAGGGTACCAGAAAATGTACAAACATTGTTAAACTGGAAAAAGAAGAGTAATAGAAATTGTAATTTGGTGTGGAATACATTTAATTCTTAGTGTATTTGATGGAACTATACTGACCGACATGAATGGTGGTGGCTGAGTTTTGCTCACTTCTGTGCTTCTACTGTCGTGTGCTCTTCTTACCCATTCAGCTTCAATCACTTGCTGTATACTTGCTCGGCTAGTTAGCATATAGAATACTCAGTTACTTCAATCATGAAGCGGACACTAGCATGCCAGTCCATTATGTTGCTAAACACAAGGACATAATGCTGAAGCATGTAATATAAGCATTGAAAATGTGCAAAGAATTGTTAGCAAGAGTGACATAATTTGTATTCTGCTCTCTCTCTGCAAACCACCAACTTTTGTTCTTGTTGGTTGTTGGGTTTAATTTGTTTTAATGTGTACGTATTGTTAGAAAAATATGAAAAGGGAAATGGTGGACAAGTCTATAATGAATCTTATTAGGTTTTGGTTTGACAGACTCTGGTCGTCTGGAGACCACAGGTCGTTCCACACCTCTGGATCAGCACCAGTTTACAGGGCCCTCCGCCAGGACGGTGCTGAGTAGAAGCCATGGCACATCTGTCGCTCCAGGTAGAACTTAACTTAAACTCATGTAACATACAACTTGCCACTTAATATCACTCAAACATTATCTATGGGCAATGTTGCATCAGATACGGAAAAAAAAAATCATGATTCATAAAGTTAGTAAGAGCAAAGATAATTTTCCTGACAGAACTTGTGAATGAAACGATCATACATGTGTAAGCATTGGATGCAATCTGCACTGGTTAGGAATGTTAATGCAAATGCTTATGCAGTATTTTACTGTGTGTGTACTGTATTTTTCTGTCATGTGCTCATATATACTCCTTACTTTATTTTTATAAAATGTATTAAAAATATGGCTTGAAAGTTACAGTGCTTTGGATATGGGGTTAACTATTTCTTTTTAACCTTTATCAGGTTCATATCGCTGTTTACAATCGGTCTAGTTGGCTATGTGTCATGGTAATATACCACTAAACATTTAACCTTGTAGATAATGTCTAGCTTGTAGCCTGGAAGTATGGGGGTTAAAATTCACTGTTCCTGTATGATAAAGGTTAATAATACTCAGCTATGTGCGTAGCAGTTACAGAAAGTAAAGGTCTAATTCATTCTGTGTAATGAAGTATAGAATACTGCAGGAAAAGAAATAATACTGGAATGAAGTTATCACCTACAACCTTTTATAACCACCCGGCTTAGGTGATTTAATTCAGAGTTTGTGTAACTCAGTGAGCTGAGTCCTTCTCTCCAGGAATATGCGTGGGTGCACCACTAGCGGCCCGCGGTTCGAATAAATAATCACACAAATAATGTATCTGATTACTGAAATATGGCTTACAGTATTCATTGCAGAAAAAATTGTCTCAACTAGCAGCCTGAGTAGTTCAGATTGGATTTTCTCAGTTGTTTTTAGCCTCAATTAAAGGAACCTTGTGGTCCAATATCTGAAGATGGCTTTAAAATAAATTTAAAATATCTGATTTTTCTATAACTGTGATGTGAAACATTGACCATAGATTACAGATGTGCTGAATTGTCATACGTATGTTATAAAACAGTTACACATTTGTGAGACCTCAGGGTGATGAGTGTTAAGATGGCTGTCTTTTGAGAAGAGCCATACTCTAGTTACATATTTTCACAGACACAAAACAGTTTTACTTAAGAGTGTATGACGTCCACAGATGTACAGTGTCAAAAGTAAACTTATGCGAGGTTTGGACCTTCATGACACATGTAAAAGAAATGCAGGTAACATGAAGATATTCCAGCAATGAAATGCAGCTATCCATCTTTAATGTTGTTACATACATCTACGTAGCATTCATTCCATTTTTAATGAAACTTTGTTTAAAGTTAGAGAAAGTGTAAGTGTATTATGCCGGCTTATCATGTAATATTATAGAAACAATTTTTTATATTCACAGGAACAGAACATTGTTTTTGCTTATGTGCCAGGAAGTTTTTTATATGCTACTAAGATGGTTAAGGATTTATTTATAATCAGTAGACAATTTCTAAGGTGTGGCTTTGCCTATTAACAATCCTTTGACAGATTTTGGGTTTTTGCAGCAGTGAGGATTATGATGTTATGGGTTTTGGCATTGTGTAGAACTGTTAGTTGATGCATCTAGATTCTTCATATTGCTGATATCTCATACTTGTATAGATTCTTCTACTGAGTCTACATAGTGCCAAAACCCAGAAGTACATCATGATCCTGTGATAGATTGCAACACTTGTAATCTTTCTACTAGCAATTATTCGTTCTTTATTGGTCCACAGAACTGTTCAAAGGTAAATGTATCTGCTTATCTAGTTCCCTTTCACAAAATCTACACAGCTTAGTCTGTTTATCAAGTTGTTGATATTCAAAAAATGTCACGACAATAGCAAAATATGTGTTGTTATAAAATGCAGTGGTGTGATCAGTTTAAGAATTGCAGTTTGGTTTGATAAAGTCTGAAGCATTGTTCAACACGTTGTACATACATTGAAATTTTGGCTTATTTTCTTTGCTTTGTGCAGACCATATACTATATCTTCACTCATTATTTTATATTTTGGATCAAATAATAGCATGTGTTGCTGTCATATTTATGGTCAGATTACCCTGCCTTTGAAATTTATCAACAGCCAGATGTTTGGAAAGGGTGTGATATTTCAAATAGGAATTGCTCTGCAAGTTACTGTTTGCTTTGTCTATCATAATTGTTGTCAATAGTGTTGTCATTGTTTGAGTAATGTATGAAAAATGTGAGGGGCCTATCACATCTGCCTGTTAAGTCAACTTTCTATGCTATGTCTATTTTGAGCAAGAAACATTTAGAAAGTAGACAAGATTCATTGGCTGGTGTCCTCCACCAGCAGACTTATAGCAGCTGCAAAATACGATGCGGAAAAGCTGTATGTAGGTCATGTTCTTTTGTCAGTTGTGTAACTAGTAAATTTATGGACAGTCCTGTAAATCACATCTATCAGTTATCTCACTTGCATATGCTGCGGTATAATAGGAGAGGTGGAATTAGAGACTATTCTATCAAATCATGTTGCTCCTTGACTGCTTTATTTGTATTTCTTCATAAACACCAGAATTTATGTATAGAATTAGTTGAATGTAGTGTTATTTGGTCAGGTATTGTATTTTTGATGTTCCTACTCATAGACACTGTTACCAATCGTTTTCTGTTCCGTATCAGTGTGTTCATCTCTTCAGTGGAAGAAGATAATTAATGTGGTCAATGATTGTACAGTGGCAAGTGTGAAGATGGCTATCTTCTGGGCTGTTGTACCGTGTAGTCTGGTAGAAGTTTGCCAACGTTTCAGAAGTACTTGCTTCATCCATCATTAGGGTGATGAGCCTACATGGTTCAAAACTCAGAAAACAGACATCTTTATACTTGCTGTTGTTAGAACCGAAAATCTCGCTTAGTAAACTTCTGTGGAGATGCCTCTCTTTGCTTTATTTGGAGATTTAAAGCCTTAACTTATCTTCACAACACAGACAGCACTAGCAGAGATGTGATGTTATCAGATGTTAAAGCACAGAGCAGTATTCTGCCAATTTCTGCTTGCAGAATAAAATGAGCTGTCACACAATAAGGCCAGGCAATGAAACGTGTTTTTTAGATAAGAAAATGAGACATTTAAAATGTTGATAGAGGTTGATTGATATGTGACCTGACACCTACGTTGGTATTGATCTAGGAGGACAATTTTTCAGTCATTCTAGGCGTTTAGACCACTTCGGGGTCTATTTTGTGCCCCTGATATTGTTAGGGTCTTTCAAGAAGACATGATTACATCATGAACAAGGATGATCCAGGTTCTTGGCTTCTATTTTCTGAGTGGGTTTTATGCATCTGTAATAAAAAAGAATTATTTCCATATTTAATAATTTGGTCTGTTTAAACTAGTATTTTCAAATGTTATAGTTCTATCAGTTGGAACAGTCGTGTGAAGTTGGACGGATAAAATCCACATGTGGCAATACAAATCATTTATCAGGGGTAGCACTGAATTGTGGTCTTTTTCAGGAAAATATGGTGGCTGACTTTGAATTAACAGTTTTCTGCAAGTAACAAAATTACCTTTCCTTTGCAGAATACCAAGAAAAATAAACTTGTGTAGTTCACAGCAAATATTATACAAACTATGAAATGCATGTGAGATTTGAGGTTCTCACATGTTTATGGTATTCTGTTCTGTGATGCCATGGTCCTGTAGGTGCTTATCAACATCTTCATCTGACCCACCTGAAGATGGAGGTGATACTTTCATCTGAAACTCTGATAACCACATACAAGACCATGGCATCACAGCTCAGGAGATTACTAAATGTATCTCAGTATAATGCTTCAGTGTTTGTTTTGTTATGCAGGTACATTTTAATATGCTATTGAAAAACTTGACACAGTCAAGAAACTTATACGCAATCTGACACTACAATGTTTTCACAAATCTGTATATCAGTTGTTGTTCTTTGGGTGTGTCTATGTACTTTGATTGATGTTTGAAGGCATGACAAAGTGTTGGCCAAGTTGTTGATATGATTGAAGGTGACTTTTACCTATCTTCTTATCCTTACTGCATGACCTTCTTTCAGTTTTATACTTTGCATGGAGCATATTTATTGTTGCTGTAAAAGTTTCTCTCATTTGCTTGTCACTCAGTGTAAAGTACCCTCATGTTTATATTTAATTTGCACTCATTTTTGTGTTTTATTGATTTGTCAGTCGTTGCATGCGTTGATTTGTGTTGCATAAAGTATGTTGTCCACTTGTTGTTTTCTCACTGTTTTCTTAGTTTCTTTGTGGAAGCTAATTCGCCATATTATCATTCCCCTCCACCCTCCCTCCTGTTCACCCTGTTACGCTGTTTTAGGTTGCGGTTCATCAGGAGTCGTTCTTTCTCCGTTTCCTAGAACTGTATTTCCCTCTGGGGTAACTTCTCTTGGAGGGTTCACCCCCTCATATTGCATGCAGCAACATCCATATTACACACATCCTCCTGCTCCAAACCCTGGTGTTTGGAAAAGTCCCTCTGTTTCAGATTTAACTTCAATCTATCAGATGTCAAACAGCCACTATGGTGTGAATAATTCTACTTCTAATCCGCCAGCTATTAATTCTTCTATTCGTTGTGGCCCATTTTCATCTACCTCTTTACCTAATACAACAACTGCTCCAAATCAACCACCAAACTCTCTCCCATTGTTGCCCAATACCTGCACCGTGGAACCTTCCGTAGCTGCCAGTAACACTGGAACTGGGACGGAGATGTACGCACAGAGTGGCGGCCACGCACAGTCGCAGCTGCAGCAAGGGAGGACTGGTTCTCCTATTGGAACGTCCATGGGTGTCTCAACTGTTGGGGTCCAAAGCTCCAGTGAAATTGATCGTATCATGGCAAAGATTGAACAGGACAACCGAATCCTCGCAGAACTGGACAAGACCAGATCTACTATTGGTAAGTGTTTTCTCACATTATTTTTCAGCCTGGATTGCTTGATATGGCTTGGATGCACGCCTCCAGTTTTCAAGGTGAACCTCTGCTTTACCATGTGATCACAATGTAGTGTGTTATGGTCCTTGATAGAACATTAAACCTCAAATAATAGAAAGCTGTGGTTGTACAATTAAAGTTATTTGCTGGATGATCTAATTCTATCCTATTGTAATTAAATATTTTTTGAAACTTTAATTTCTTATTCTTTTTCCTGTTTAACAATGTTTGTACATTTTCCGGTACCCTTTACGGGTCTCCAACCTTTTAGTTGGCTTGATCTATGGACATTCGGTAGGACACCTTGGACGACAACACAGAAAAACATCCATGGCTTGAGTGGGATTCAAACCCACAGTCGTCGCGACCAAGTGGCACAAGACCCACGCCTCAGACTGCGCGGCCACTGCAGACCCCGAAACTTTAATTTCTGTATGATTGTGATGATTCATTAATTAATACATACAAGAATATTCTGAAGACCAAGTATCTGTCAAGTTAATCCAGCTCAGTATATGTGTATTATATGCAGTTCAGTGTGATATAAATGAAATACAAACAATGACAATGCTAATTGCCAAAAGAAAGAATGAATGAACTAATGTAGCTTTAACCCAATTTTTGTAAACCACACAAGAAAGAATAAGAAATTATAATGCTGATGATAATGGAGAGAGATTTGATTTTAAAAATTTATTTGTTTCCATTCTTAATTAATATGTGAAACGTGAGTTTGCTGCATGAAGGGTCACCTTGGAATCTGGAAGGAACGTGATCACTGGCAACTTATGGATGCTCTTCTATTTGTTAAATTCTCATGCATTGGACACTTACAATGCAGTCTTATGATGCATGTCATATAATTTTTTGTATTCCTTTCAGTGTCATAGAACTTGACTTTAGCAGGTTGTGAGTATGATGTTTGGTTTTAATTTAAAGAGAGACTTGATATTTTAATGGGCATTTCTTTCTGATTTGTTTGCTATCAGTAAGTGATACAGTTTTGCTGCTTTATTTTCTTACATTTCCTTCATCTCATCTCATCTCATCTGCTGTATTTTTACAGGTTCTTCATCAAATCCTTCTGTGCCACAGTTTTTATCCTGCTTGCTATTGGAAAACTCTTACTGCATTTAATTGATTTTAATGTTTAAGACAAAAGGTTTTTTGGAGCATTTTGGTGATGTTTTCTTCCTCAAATAATCTTCCACTTAGAATGATACGTCATGAAAATGCGAGGCAAAAGCTTCTAATATTGCCTGACGCAGATATCTTGCATATTATATTCATACATTATGTATTATAGTATAAAATTGTGTGTGTGTGTGTGTATCCCCCCCCCAAATTATTCACACTATAATTATGCAGGCTTTCCTTTAGTGTTATGAATTTCATGTCTGTGAATGTTTTAATATTTAATCAGTTCTTCTGCAGTCCTGTGAAATAAATATGTTTGACATTTGATAATTTGTCTTAAACATATGTGCACCATATTACACAAGTCTTCTTTTTGATCATCCAGTTGAAACAAATTGCCTTAAAACACCATAAATCATTAAGCATAATTTTCAAGTCCAGAGTTCTTTTTTCCCCCCATTATTCTCATGTTGGTACAGGTGATACTTCAGATTGTACCACCATCACTATTCCAGTCCCCGAACACAATGTCTTGGGCTCGGGGCGTATTTTACGAACCTGCAGACAGCCACAGCAACAACCATCAGTACATCAACAACTGCGACACTGTGCTGACTCAAAGAAACACTACCTTAAAGTCCCGCAGATAATGTATGGTCATGGTTCTCGAAGTGGTAGTCGTGATCACCAGCGTAAGTGTGGTTTTTGTCTCAGGCAAATTCAGACTCATAGGCTAGACACTGTTTAGCACAGTTCTGTGGCTGATAGCTGTACCAGAGAAATTATTTCTTGGATACATAGTCATGCCAGAGGAGGGGAGTGTAATTGATGACAGACGTCATGCACTCGCCTTAAGGCATTGCTGCTGCTGCAAGAGATTTGAATGCTGGATATTACATTGATCCCAAATATATGCAAGGTATTTGATTAGTTTGGCATTTTTATATTTTACAGGTGATGGATAAAATGTAAGAAAACTGGGAGAACGTTACTTATGCTTGTGTCTTGTATCCATTTTCTAAACATTGGTTTTGATTTGCATTGTGTTCTTCTTGTCTGTGTTCACATTTATCCTGATGTTGTAATACTATACTGATGTACCTTGAACCAGTTATGCTGTGTATTTATTGTGTTTCTTTCTTCAAATATCTATCTATATCTGATCACCGAATTAGACACTGGATTTTTGTGTTTATGAAATGCACAGGCCTTGTTTGTTGGTCCTTGTCCATTGAATATTTTGGAGAAAGATTTGTATATAATGTTCAGGATTAAATGAAAAGCCTTTAACTATCAGATTGCTCATTTGGAAGTATCTAATAGGAAAAGGAGAATGATAATGACAGTGAGAATAAGGATAGCATAAATAATCCCAGTTAAAGAACTGCGTAATTGAATTAATATGTTTTTCCCACTTTTGTGTGCAGATGTCTATATTCCATACACATAAAAAGTCTGGATATAATTAAAATTAATGTAGTAGTAGGTTCTTAGATTATTGTTAAATTTTGAATACTGACCAAATATTTGCATATTGTAAAGGAGAGAGAAAAAGTAATAAATTTAAAACATTGAAAATAATTTTAAAGTATAGCACAAAACTTTTGAAACGCTTAATCTTATTCTTTGAAAGATCAGCACATGTTATTTCAATTTAATTTTTGTTATCCCTTTGAAGCTGAAGTTTAAATAGCACGCAAGAATTCAGTTTTTACCTCAAAGAGAAAACAACACAACTCCATTACAAAGTTAAGTTTATATTGTTTTAAGGATAATAATTACTGTTTGGTCTGAGAATTATATAAAACCCATAAATCCAGTTTGTAAGCAGAATACAGAATTATTGTTTGTCGAAGAAGGTGGTGCGTATAGTGACCATGTTGCTTTAAAGGATTAGTTATTGGTTAATAACCTAGATTGATTGTTTGGCTTCAGCTTCATATTTAATCTTATTCAATTTTTTTTACATAAAAGTATCATATAACTTTTGATTTTGAAAGAGAGATAAGTGTAGGATGATAAGAGACAAGACATGAACCCTTTTAAATGTGATCAGTAAATGTTCATCTTCTGCAGCAGCACCTGTCTTCTGTTATAGGTAAGCGCATGCTGTGTAACCTCATCTTTTGCAAATTACCTTCTTCTGACATGAAGTACATAGGTTGCTTACCCTTTCCTCATCTACCATAGCTGCTCATTAGTTTACTGTGCATTAGACTGAGATATGCTGACCCTTTCTTTAATCTGTTGTTCAATAGAAGTTTTGATGTTTAGTTGAATTCTTCATAATACAGTTTGTTCAAATCACGTTTTAATATGTTGTTTTCAAATGTTTCTTGCTTGCTGTGGGGGTCGGAAGTATGGCAGGTGGACTTGAATTAGTACAAAGAGAATTCTTTAGCACTTTATGTTTGTTATGTGGTGTTGGTTTTGTTCAGTCTTTTGATTGGCTGCAGTCTGTTAATTTAACTATTGTGTTATGTGACAATACTCTTATTTATGCACTGTTCTTGCTTCGAGATTGCACCTATTTAAAACATTAATTTCATTTAAATTTGAAATTTTGTGATGTTTTTTTATTAAATTAAAAAACTAACTTGACCTTATCCATAATATTAATTTAATTAAAAACGTGATGTTTTGGAGACTTGAATTTGTTTTTGTCGTCAGGTAAAACGTACTCTGTTAGGCCCAGTCTATACGGCTAGTCCCTATCTCCGGACTACAGTAGGCCAACCAACTTGCTAGGTTATGCCATTCTTACATATGCACTTACTTGATGGCAGAGATGGATACCAGTCTCTTGAGTCATGTTTTTAATCAAATTAAGATGATGGATAATGTCTATGAAGTTTTTATTTTTACAAAATTTATTATATATCAACTTTCTTTTGTAGGTATATGCTATAAAACGTTCATTAAAAATATAAATGTAACTTTCCTCATATACAAGATGACAATAATAATTCATCTCCATACAGATATCATTTACCAGTCTGAAGAAGGAAATTAAATTATTCATACGGTTATGCTTTGCTTAAACTAAAGAGATCTGACAGACGGACGCTGGTAGATCTGATTCATTGTATTACATGGCACTGAATGATGGCTGCCATTCACAGTTACGCAATCCTATGCTTCTACTAGAATTAGCTGGCAGTGTAGTGATGGTCAAACTAATTATTTGGCTTTAGCCAATAATAGTTTTGAACCGATGTAGCCAAGCAGGAAATGATTTAACACTCTTTTCAAAGTCCAGAATATGTCCATTTCTTATTTTTTATAAAATGCTTGTCTATATTTTTGTCTTTTTTCTGGAAATACTCTTGTGAAATTATATAACTTAGATAATAAAGTCTCTGGGTTGCATTTGTTTTTACATAAAACTGTAGTTAGTGGTATGAGTATAAAGCTGTTTATTAATGATAGAAGTATAAGTGGCCAGAAATTTCTCTTGTGGATCTTATTCAAAATGATGTGAAACAATGTAGTCGATTGTGGTCTCCTGGATTGTGTAGTTTTGTTGGTTTGTAGGTACTTTCTCTGAAATCTTGGTAACCACATGTGCAAACCTACATGGGGCTACATCCCAGATCACAATTGGCATCATGATGAGAACCTCAAATCTAGAATAAAATAGCCCACCTTACTTAGGTATATATTGAAAATCAAAAGAGAAAGAGGACTGAAAACACATTTTCAGATGGTGAAATTTTACTGTGGCCACAGAAAGAAGTCTTACAAATTAACCCCATCCACATTTTCCTCAAGCTGCTATACTTTCCTGCATTTCCCCTCAGCCATGTAGCCATTCTGTTTGCAGGTATGTTGATAGTAATAACTTACGCTAGCGTCATCCGCTTTTGGCCGTCTGAGATAGACGGGAGGATAATACACCAATAAGAAGAAACAGAGAAACTTCAAACATTATCATCCCTGCCATCCATCGGACTTCTTTTTGCAGCCTCAGTATGTCTTAGTGCTCATTGCACTAAATCAAACTGACGTGTGTGTTTGTGTTGAAAAAAGAGAGTTACCGTATATGTATAAGGGTATGAGATAGGGTTGGGTAGAGATGAAGACTTATTTTTGATTATGACTGGTCTAGTTTTCTTAGTAACAAGAAAATGCTTGCAATTAAACATTTTTACTGAAGTCCATATGATCTAGTTGAATGACACCACTAGGTATATATTATTTGGGCTGTTAAGCATTTTTTCTTAGTTTGCTTCATGGCATATAGGATTAACTTGACGTGCTGATGTGCCTTTAACCCTGCAAGCGACGTGTGAAAGAAGTTTGATATACAAATGAAGCTACAGCTCTGATTGGTGTACGTTATCAGTAGTACAGTCATTTGTGTAGATTATAACAACAGTTCACATTAAATTTTATCGCATTTTGTTAAAAAGAAAAACACCCAGATGGCAGATCATATATGGACATATCATGTAGTGCTGAAGATTTGTATTAGTGAACTGGTGGCTTGTTCTTTATCCATCTTAAGTTAAGAAAAAAGAGAGAGATTGGAAATACTAGTCATTACTGGCCCAGTAGCTAAAGTTTGATTTGTTGAACAGACATGACTAAGTATCTGTTTTATTTCACTTATTTTTTACCTGAATATGGAGAAATTCTGCCAGCTTCTGAAGTTTTGTAGACTTAATCTGTACTTAGGATAATTGACAATATAATTATATCTTCATCATTACGTGATAACATTTCACTAGCAAGAATTTCTTGTGAGGTACGTTGTTGTTACCAGCCAGCTAGGTTAGATGTGTACTTATACTGCATTTTAAATTTGTCTGGATTGTGAATATTGTACATGGCTACAAGCTTCATCTAAGGACCTCAATGGCAACATAAACAAGTATAAAAAGAAAAGAATTTATCACCTACTTGAGTTACATGATATACGACTAACAAATAATCTTTAGACATTTGTTATGTAATTATGTTGGAGACTTAATTTGTGTAATAGTAAACGTCACTGTATATCAGCACACATGCCCTGATCTGAAAGATCAAAATTAAGAAGAAGCTGTTAAATTTTTTATGAGTGTTGCATAATCAGTAGATATTTGTCACAGAATTATGGTGGAAACTCAGTATGGATCATTCATAGTTGTGGTCAACCATTTTTCAGTACATATTCTCTAAGATCTTCAAACATCTCATTACCTGAAAGTATTATATGTTAAGAATGAATAAAATAATTTGAATTTCTATCAGAGGAAAGACATAAATATAACTAGGTTGGAAAGGTATACTCTTTGGAATACAAGATTTTTCATACTAGAGCATGAAGAACACCTGACAAAGAATTGTAGCTACAGAATTATCACTGAAAATAAGATGGGACAGAAACGTGATTATATTTTGTGGCTTTTTGCAAATTGTGAATGTAAAACTACCTTTCATATTGTCAATCAAAACACTTAATCAGAATAATATTTGTGGTTACTGGTGTGTACAGCAGTATACAGTATGATTAAATAATTATGAAGTTTTTATACTGGGATCATGGCAAAATATTCATGTTTAATTTTCTGTTTTTGATTCTCAAGAATGGTTAATTATGTTTATATTGCAGATTCTTAAATCTTTACTATCTTTCTGAATATTTAACTGTGCATGTGTATAAATTACTTTAGGCATCAGGTCCAAAGTTATTCATACTGACTGCTTGTTCTTGAGCAGACTTGTTAATTATGCCTAGTTTGTTGTATTTATATGCAATATAATTGTTTTAAGTTATATGTCATTGATCCTATTAATTTTTGGTTTATTTATTTTTGAATTTTGTTAAAAATGGCTTTAGTGAAGGACATGCCAGAATTCGGTATATGGCATCAGCTACCTTTTACTGGCTTCCAAAAATTCACAAACCTATAGTCAATGCTACAGGCTCTGCAGCCAACTGGCTTTCCAGATGCCTACATAAAATACTTCTCTCAGCCATACCACATGACTTTCTCCCAAAAGCAGAAGTTATATGTCCCATAACTTTATTTAATAGCACCATAGTTGTTGAATACACTCTTAATGTTATCTGTCAATTGAGTTTTCAGCTGTTTACTCATGTCTCCTAGGTTTGTCTGGAAATGTTTCTACGGCTACTGTTGGAGGGGTAATGGGTGCTCCTTCCAATGCAGTTGCCACTGGTGAAACAATAGGTTTTATTACAAGCCTTCCCATGCTACCTGCGCCTCCGACGGGACCTACTGCACAGTTACAGTTTGTCTCGCAAGCACAGTTGCAGCCAGCGCAGTACATGATGCAGACGGCTGCAGGGTTGGTACCTCAGGGGCTAGTGCCTCACCAGTCAACTCAACTACAACATAGGCTGATGCCTCAGCTGCCTGCGACAGTGCCGGCCATTCTCACCACTCACTATGACTTGGACAGTGAGTTATTATTTTCATGTACCTGTCTAAAGAAAACAACAAACATGTATTATTTCAAGACCCATTTTGGTATGACGTGTGTTTCTTTATGTGGAAAAGAGTTGATTAAGTAGGTTATTAACCCTTCAGTGCTGAATGATTTTAACTGTAGGACCATGTCATTACCTGACGTTTTAAAAGTCATTTTTGTAGACAAATCCAAAAGGCCAAGGAAACTATTTATGCTTGAATAACTGTGATGAATTTGATAATGAATAATACAGACTGCATATTCTGTATGCTTATTTCTTGTCAGAAGAATTGTAAGCTGATAAATAATTACAAAATTGGCAATAGTTGTTTTAGTGAAACGTTTTTGCGATGGAAATATAGCCTCAGCTGTTACAGAAAACATTCTAGACTGATATACTGGTATTTAGTGTGCTTGTATATGGTATTTACCACAATTAATAGTCATGTAAGATCAGCTCTTTATTATTTTTTTATCCAAATGCAGAGACCTGCATATCTCCGTAACTGTTACGAATCAGACCCATGTTGATATAACATTTTTTGCTTAGAATTTCCCCAAGAATCAACTGATGAAGTCTTCATTTCCTCTCAGGACAGTTTGTTTATTGACGCTGCTGATGGCTCTTACGTAGTCAGTAATGCTTACCATGCTGGTTACATTCTTTGTTGTTTCTGAATGTGGCTTCACTGGGAAATACCTCAGCTTGTATCTTTAAAATCTGAATAATTAAGTCTATAGAAAGCTTGGTTCACTGAACTCAGGCTGACAACACCTGTGACAGTAATTTATTTACACTTCTAGTACAAGTGTCCTATCATCTTTAAATCAGAATGGGTCTTGGAATTTGTGGTCACTGTAAGTACTAGCTATAATAAGTTCATAGGTTAATTGTTAAGATGTAGGTACTGTAGCGCAATATTGTTCAGATATTAAATATTTGATAAAATTGTAGGGTTAAAATAAAAGTCTGGGCATTAATTGTGGCTGGATGCTAGTATATAATTGTGAACAGTGGCCAAATTTCAGATATAAGTGGATAATAGTGCAGAGTTAATGAATGCATGTAAGTAAGATTTATACTGGCTGACATGTCTCATGGTACCAGATAAGACAGGACAGAAAAGAATAATTTAATAGCAGCAGAATTTTTTATTTTATTAGTAAACTTGTTCAAATTAAAATACTGTTTTATAATGGTGTATATGTTTAGTTAAATGCTAGTACTTAAGTCATATCCTTGGCTGCTACTTTAACATTTTATTAATTTAGGTTAATTTTCAAAGAAAATATTTTTTAGCGCCTACCATTTTTAATTTTCAATACACTGCATGTTAATCTGTCCTAACAGCAAGAAATAACTTTCTGAATGGAAATCTCCCGGGCGTATTTACAACATTTCAATCTGATCAACTGCAACAGACTAGTGCCGTGGAGAACAAGGTGGACATGTTAGATGTTCCAGGCAAGGGTCGTTGCTACGTCTACATAGCCAGGTAGCTACATATTCATACATATGTATTTTTAGTACATTTATAGTTTGTGTAATTAAATTTTCAGTCAAGACCCGGGTTTACTCCCAGGTCAGTCCACGTGGGACAAGGTAGCACTGAGACAGATTTCTGCCCCAAATCCTTTGGTTTTCTCCTGTCAGTATTATTTTACTGCTGTTCTATATTCACTTGTGTATCAGGAGGATGGATGATGAACCTATTACTTTCTGTAGTTCCATGGAGATGTAGTCTTGCCTAATCATAATTATAAAAAAGTAAAGGAAATACTGAAAGGTATTGAGACTGAATTTTTTGTTCTGAATTAATTACATTGCAAGGGAATGTGGCTGTGATGAATGTATTCCGATATGTTACCGCATGTCAGGCATTTTTGTGTTTAATTTTAGTACTTTAGTCATTTTTGGTCAGTATTTAAAGTCTAAGTGTCTTGTCATGACAATGCAACAATATCTAATTGTACAGAACAATGTGTTTACATTAAATTCTGTAAGAAGATGAGGGAGACAGCACCTGAAACCTACCGTCTGATACAGATAACATTTGATGGTGCAACAATAAGCTGATAAATAGTTTTTCACTATTTTTGTCATTTTAAAGAGGGAAAAAATGCTTTATTAAATATGATGAGTGACATCTTCAGGCAGTATTTTTAATTTTTATTTGTATATAATCAGGGAAACTTTTGGATTCTTTTTTAGGTTTTCATATGATCCATTCCAACAGTCGCCTAACGAAAACCCAGAAGCTGAACTGGTTATAAATGCAGGTGACTACCTCCTCGTCTGGGGCAACATGGATGAGGTAAATTAGCCTGTTACTTCGTTTATAGTTCATTTACAGCCACTGCAGTCATAGATATTGCGGCGGGCATGAAATAAGAAGTTATCTTCAGAATATGTAACATGCTGATCTTAAAGTGGGGAACAATAGTGAAAGATGCAGTCAACATGAAACAGTCTTACTTCATTTTGTCTGTTATATTTATTTTGGTTTATACAGAGTAATTTAGTTTGAAATTGCACTATGTAACTAAAGGATTTGCTCAGATAACTTGTTTTCACTGTCATTGAAGATAAATATGTCAGCTGTATTGCATACATTGTTTACCACATTATCAGAATTTAACCATCAAAGCAATATCTGATTCTTATATTTGCAAATAATGAAATTTGAGGTTCTTATTGTCGCAAGCATGAAGATGGCTGTCTTCTATCAGATTTTATGGCACACACAACCCTTAAAATAGCCGTCTCTGTATGTATTCATGATTATTTACCCTTTAAGACTTAATTTGTATCTGAGATGTTAACTTATTTGTGTTACTTTCTCCTTTTGCGTGTGTGTGTCTGTCTGTCTATCTATGGACTTTCCCAAATTAAAGATATTGATTTGTATTTTGTATTTGTATGTATTTTGATGGAACAATTTTACTGATGGGAGAATGGATAAAATCATGATGGAGTAAACAAAGAAGGATTAAATTGATTGACAGTAAATGGATGGAGTAGACAAAAAATGTATCCACAGTATTTTACTTGATAAACCTCTAAAAGAAAGTCTCTTGATGACTTGATACAGTTGGGATAACTGAAGTCGGGCAGTAGATACAGTCTGCATTATATCTGTATTTGGATACTGGATAATTAGGATATGAATGGGAGTGTATGGATTAACTTGTTCATGTATTACAAGGAATAATCCAGTTTGACGATCGTCCTGGGTTTTTGCGTTATGTAGATTTGTCAGTAGATGCCAACATTTAAGAGAAACACGCTGTTTCCATATTCAAGACTACAGTGGCACCATCTCTTACTCTTTCCTCATTTCTTGTTGACCAACTCCCGCAGCCTTCTCAACCCGCAATCCGGTAAATCTCTTTACTCCCCAGGCTCGCCACTTCAGACCTGAAGCTGGAGACATTATGTTTGTCTAAAACGTTGGCATCTACCAACAAATTTACGTGGCACAAAAACCCAGGACATTATTCTCTCCACCACGAAAGCCTCAAATCTCACAATAATTCAATGTTTCCTTTTTGTTCTTATCTTTTCCATGAAGGATGGTTTCTTTGATGGTGAACTTCTAGATGGGAGACGTGGCCTGGTGCCATCTAATTTTATTCAGAAATTAGTTGGTGATGACTTGCTTGAGTTTCACCAGGCGGTGGTACAGGGCCTCCGAGATGGTGATGACAGTGGCTCCACAAATATAGCACACGATCTCGCCCAAGAAGCTCTTGCCTTGATGGGTTAGTTACCATGTTTATGATAAAACAGCAATGTCTAGTTTCTATATCTTGGCCATATATTTTTCCCATGCTAAGCTGACAGTGGTTAACTGTACTTACAGGTATGTTTAATCAGAATGTACTAATATTTCCTAGTATTTATTATTTAGGGAATTGGTTTATTTTTGTTGAAAACATGATAATGTATGAATTTAATTTTCCCAGTTAAAATGGTATTCTTTTGACACATGTAATGAAGATTAATTTTTGTGGAAACAAGTTTACTGATAAAAATATATGCTGTTTGTACAGTCATGTGATGTGTTGTAACAGGCTAAATTGATGTGATGTTAGTCAAGGAAAGATATATTTAATGATAGCTACCTATGGAAACTAGACTCTTATTTTAGATTTGTGAGGATCCCAGTATTTTGATTCTGAGCTGAAGTTTAGTTTACAGTTATCCTGATTCAAGAAAAATTTAGATTTATTCCATTGTTATATGAATTATGTCACAGTTAAGAAATTTAAATCAAGTTTACATGTTAAGTATTTACCAAAGTGCATTAATTTAAATTATATGCATTTCTTGGCACATTTAATTATAGAAAGATAGGGATATCTGAGCTGTTCCTTTGGTCAGACTGTGTCTTAATGGTTGAAATTATGGGGGAATTTTATTATTTGAGTGATGTGGGGATGGTAAGAATTACTTATGGCTAGGGCTTCTGTTCTATCAAAGTGAGTACCTTTTCTTGGTCTCTATGGAGAGCGTGGCTACTGATGATTGGTTCTACATAATATGTAAAATTGTTTCTTTGAATTTTGTCCAACATCTGAATTATGAAGTAATGAAACTACAGTGTTTCAGAAGCTTCTGAAACAATGTATTTTTATTATTTTATAATTTAGACAATCGTCAAAGCACAAAAGAACAATTTTATGTATCATAATGTACCATTACAGAAACCTGTAGGTTTTGACTGTTTGTTCTCCATTCTGGTGTCTCTTGACGTGCTCTGAAATCCAAGTGGGTATGTAACAGTCAATTTAGCCAATGTGCACCTTAACTACTGCAGCAATGAATCTTGAATTCACAGGATTTAAAACACCCATTAAATTCTGATCATGTAGACAGATACAGTCTGAGCAAAGACAAGTCTTACCTCCTTTCTCTCTTCTATCAAGTCTCCGACCTTCTTCCAAACCAGGGGAAGTTCGCATTTAGATAAAATTCCACTCCTTGGCTTGCCCATTAATCTAACTCACTTCCCACTTCCAGACCTAAACAAGGGCTCCATTTACTTTTGAAGACAGCAATTGTAGTGTCTGTCAGAATGTTGAAAGACATTCAGCACAGGACATGAGAGCTGAAATTATAAACAAAAAGGAAAATGTTCTCAGAATTTAGATTTTAGATTCTCATGACAGTGAGTACAAAGATGACAGCCTTCTGGGATGTGCTGTATAGTCCTGTCGACATTGACTGATGTTTCAGAGGAGTGTTCTTCCACCATCATCAGGACTATGAACAAGCCTTATTGCCCAGATTTAGTATACTCCTCTGAAATGTTGGTTAACTAATGAGACTATACAGCACAATATCCTAGAATTTTGTCATTTTTAAAATGTCAAAAGATTTAGAGAGTTTCCACAGAGATGTAAAATTAACTCAGAATTGAAATATGGCATTCTCACTTATCTCTCACATACACACTTGCATGGGTTACATATTTCTATATTCAGCACCTTGGCTACACCTGTAGGACAGACTGTGAACTTCTTACTTCATATTTATTCAGTTTGTTACAATGTATGGGAGTCAATTTACTGACTTCACTATTTCTATCTGACATTTACAGTTCAGCAAACTTGATGTCTATTTCAGTTGTGGCTAGAAGTTTCATAAAGATTGCTTTCCAAATGCTGGAAGAATTTCATGTGTTTGTGAACTGTGTTAATAAATAAATAAATAGAAAATAAATAAATGGAAGTCCACAGTTTCATCCCGTAACTGTAGAACATGTTGTCATTCAATCCATATTAGTATTATATATGAAAATAATTATAGTTGTCCCACAGGTTAAAGCCGACAGTTTCTCGTTCATGTTCTGAATGTCACGTTGCAATTACTTTGTCTGTGCATGCTGCAACTGTGCTGCCTTTGCAAGCGATGAGGGTCGATGGGGCAATGCCGCTGCATCAGCCCTGGCCCTCCCGAGGGGTTCAGTCCCAGCCCTTTTTGGGGTCTCCTATGGCCACCCTCACCAGGATATGCAAACGGGTCCTGCCTAAACTTGCGCACTCAAATGCAATTTTAAACAGTATGTTATTGCTGCATCTGTCTGAATAACCCCATCTCTCCTTACCAGGGTTGCATGATAGTGTCAAAATGCTTTTAAGAAACAGTTTAGTTTAACTGTGTAATAACTGTAAAATTAATTTCAAAATTAGATGTCACACATAAAATGAAATTTTTTTGAAAACTATCATAACTACTCTTATTCCACCAGGTAAATTCCCTTCATGTAGCAGTACATGCAGCAGTTTGTCAGAAGCCATTTCTAAAATTCTGAAACTTTTAGTGTAGGTTAGTAATTATGTATAACTATGCATGTATTACGACGAATATTAAAGTGACCTCTTGATGGAGCAAGCATTTATGTTTGTTTTCTATGAACTCAAAGAAAATATTGTGTTAAGACATTTGTTTTGTAATTACTACTAAATTATAAATGTTGGTCCAGTGAAGCTTTAGGCAGAGTTAAATGGTTACTTCATACAGTTTATCCCACTCAATACTGCTTAACCTGCATATAATGGTGTGTGGAATAAAGCATTTGTTGATCTTGCTGTTAACAGACTGGTGGTTATGTCAGCCATTTTCTGTTACTCATCACTTCATACTTTAATGATGGAGAGAAAATGTTTAAAATGTTGGTAATTTTATTTCATTTTGATGCTGACTTGTCAAACATGGGAGATAGGTAATCAACCAGATAAATACCAGTGCAGAATTGATTTTGATCTCACATTCTCTTCATTTCATTGTGATAAGAGACAAATGGGAACATCTTCAAGTGTTTTTGCTGTGAAGTATTTAGTTTCAGCAAAGGAAGGCTGTAATGAATGTAACATTTATTGAAGTAAACAGTTCAACAGGTCTACATAGTCATTTGCATGCTCTTAATTTAAAGAAAAAGCTTGTAATACAGTATATTATTTTAACTTTTTGAATCAGTTTTTCATAAACCTCCTCACACATTTACAAAATTTCCACCTAAATGTGACAGGTCGTTGCCACTTATCAAAATTATAAACACTTCCATTTTAAAATCGATTTAGATTATTATTTTTTCAGTATCGAGGATTTGTTTCATACAGAAATGTCAAATTTTCTTACAGGCTTACACTTTATAATAATTAAATTATATGTTAGTAGCTTCATGAACCCTGTCCTTGCCTTTGTAATGCAACTGACCATCGCATAGCTTCAGTATTGCATGTGTAGACAGTTAATTTATGCATTCAGTAGCTTATAGTTTGTAGTTATAAAATAGTTCCAAACCTACACTCTGACTTTGGAATTTAATGTAATTATGGATAACATATTTCAAAATTAACTCTAGTATATTTAAGATACACAGGAAGGGTATTTACGTACTATAAATTGTATGTAGGCATGTCACAAAAATTTAAATGAAGTCTTATGAAGAATAAAATTATATTTCAAAAGGAATAGTTGTTAGAGAGAAAGATATAACACCTGAGTGGTTAGCGCTCCTGTTTTGTGTTCAGGAATTCCTGGGGTAAAATATCAGTCCAGAGATTGGCTATCCAAACTGAGGGTTTTTTGGTTTTCCCCAGTTTCTCTATGCTGATGCCAGGATAGTACCTTAAATTAGGCCTGACATGTTCTTTCCAGTTCACTATTCATTTGTCATATCATCATTTGGCATTGCATAGACTTAGGTACTGACATCGTCATT